GAAAAAAATAATGGTGGGACATTCCATACTTACGTTTTTCTCTTGATTCTCTGCTATGAAGAGTAAATCCTAAGACAAATTACGATATCTGGGACTGTGTACGAGTATGCGCCATACGTCCGTCCTCTATCTGGAAATGAAGCCATGTGGGATGCGTAAATTCCTTTTTTTACATTCATAATAAATCTTTATGTAGTAAGGTAGAATGTTTAGTTAGCCTGTGTAATGACTTATGAGGTCAACCGATTTCAAATAGCTGCTTCTACCCTTTCATACCTTTCTCTGACTTACTTCACTACCTCAGAAAGATGAAAGACCTGATTGGTCTCAGAGGGCCAATGGCAGCCTGCACTTAAAGTTTCTTCTGGAGCGGAGATTGCGATTTGTTTGCCCCTTTGTATCGAAACACGAATGAAACCCTCATTTTGATTCAGAATAGGCTTCAGTATGTTTTGAAGTGTCGCTGCAATCGAGCAACAACATCGAGCGTCGCAGCCATTGTACGGAGTTCATGTTTTGACATAGGTGGAATGTCAATATTGAAGAAACCAGAGGAGAGTTATGGCTTCAAGGAGCCGTCCTAAAGGGTCGGTAGACGGATTGGGACGATGTCGAAGAATAAGTGACGGCTAGGGTATCTTCACCTGGGTAAACAGCCAGATTTTTGCCACTCAACCTGAGCTTCAAGATTACGTCCGCAAAACGACTATGTAATACCTGAAGGGTATCTGAGAACAGTACTGGCAAGGAAGGCAAGCAAGTGAAAGACGTAAAGCGTGAATAGAACCCTTTATTCTTGATACACTCATAAAGCCTGACCCGGAAAGTTCCTATTTGGACATTAATAGTCCAGTGGCTAGTGTACTATGCCACTACAGGCGACACGAGATTGATTCTCTTCTAGGGCTGGAGTATCTTTCCCAACAAGTAGCGACAACGGTGACGATATCGTAAACCCCTAAGGATAGTGTTCGAAAAATGGATGGAAGCCGGTCTTCCCATGACCACTTCGCTCCTTCAAATATCCCAAATTACTTGTAATTCTAGTACCTGCCTTACATAACCGTGACTGAGCGTGCGGTCGTCCTAAGACCTGCATATACTCATCATAATTCACACCATACTTTTGATGGGGCTTAAAGACGTTTCAAATGAGAGTCTCAAAGACTTTCAAGCGTTAATCGGCCTTTCACTAGGGTGCAGTAGGGTCTTTTTTCCATTTTTTAAATGTAACACTTCGAACAAATTCTTTGTCTGTTAGGAATGAATGGGAGGACATGCGAATTCTGGGCAAAAATGGCCACGTTCATAAATTATTTGTAAAGTTACCATGTTATTGGTCGGAATTCCACGTTCTGACTTATTCATTTACTCTAGGCTGCTACTAGTAAAGCAAAACTTGAAATCAATAGCACCGAGACACCTCGGGAAAGAGAGGGATCTTTTAATATTTACCTTAAAAAAGTTCATATTGATGGAATTACATTTCACTACTATTTTTTGCTGACCCTGGGGGGTTTCTAGAGGTGATCTATCAATCAGAAAGCTCATGCTCATAGACTCAAGATTTTCAGGAATTTTTAGGCCAAAATCAAGTATTCTTCTTTGACTATGGAATATTTCTCTGGAAGGTGCCCATTTAAGGCGATTTAATCCCCTCATCAATTCTTCTTTCTCATAGTACTCATGCCGTGATGCAAGGTAAACCAAACTATACTGTTTACCAGTTACTTGGCGATACAAGAAAGGCAAAAAGAAGTCGAACAAATCAGTTGCATTTTTTTATTTCCAGGATAGCAAAATGCACGTGCTTGGGCCCCCTTTATTACTAAAAATCATTTTCAAATCAAATTTGAGGGCA